AGTGCAGGAAGAACAATCATCTTCAATGCACACACTTGCTTTCAACAAATCTGAACAACAAGGGGAAATAAATACAATCTGATTTTGTAATGAGTTTGTAACAATGTATACAATGTTTATCAATGCTGTAGATTGATCTTCTCTTTCAATGAGAGTTTCCACAAATGTCTAAGACTTATTGCTCAAGAATTTTCTTTCGAAGGATATAAAAATTATGCAGAAAATTCTTTATGTAAAGTGATTTTTACTTAGATGTGGAAAGATGAAATTGTGATAAAGATTTTTGAAAGAGAATTGAGAGTTTTTGAATTTTTGAAAGATTTAGGTATTTATATTACACAAACACCTCTTGAGAAAATCATGCAAATCCTCAGAAAAATTGATGAACAATTGTCATGTTTCAAAGGAAACATTTCATGGAAGATTAGTTGAAGAGATGCAATTTTTCAGAATGATTTTTCAAAAACGTTCAGTGAGCAATCGATTGCACATATAGACCAATCGATTGCACCTTCATAAAAATACTTGAAAATTCAAAATTTTAACAGAGCAATCGATTGCACCAAAAGGATCAATCGATTGCACACTAAAACAGAAGCGAAAAAAGAGAGATTTTCAAGCATGCAATCAATTGCACCAAGGCACCAATCGATTGCTTACTGAAACAGAAGCAAAAATGATTTAAAATTTTGGTCATGCAATCGATTGCTCTAAGAGTGCAATCGATTGCACTTACAAAAAATTAGAGAAAATCTGTTTTAAAAAGCTTGTGTTAGTGTGAAAAGTAATGTAAAAGATTTTTAATATTTTGAGCAATCAGGACTTAAACACTTGATGAAAATTCTCATTATACCTTCTGAGGAAAATATTCTTCATGTCAAGTCTTTGTCCTGATTCTGATATCTTGAAATGGTTGATCATCTTTGCCTTCTTTGTCAAGTGATTTGTCTTCATCAAAAACATAGGTTGATCTCTGAGAATCTTGATTTCATATTTTGTTCCATGCCACGCATTGGAGATGTACAATTTTCCGGTTGCTGCAAAAAAAAACATTTTCATATCAGTAACTATTACATGAACAAATTAGAGTGGCATATCAGTAGCAAGCATTACCTGAACTTTGTTGGCACATGGCATGAGTGATGACAATAATAGTCGGGCCATGTGTAGTTTTCTCATTTGTGTAGGCCATAAATTGAGTGGCATATGCTTCCCACAATGTCAGATCAATTTCAGAACACTAATAACAAACAAAGAGAAGTAATTAATAGATACCAATCAAATAACAAATAAAGAGATAAATAAGGCATTATATGATATATACATTTCATCGGATATGATAAGGTTGACGCAAGCCTTCTTTCCGCCTCCCGCAACTTGAGTCTTGACAACTTCATGGAGCACACCTATCACACATGAATGAAAGTAAGGCCAAATAGTTAGAATAATGATTTGCAATAACATGTCATCATGCAGGTAATGTGAGGAAAAAAACATTGCAAATACCATATAAGCGATTTACTTGAAAATCTCCGTGTAAGAAATCAACAATGGGTTTGAAACAAAACTGGTAAGCTGGTATTTTTGGCATGTCAACCATAGTTACAGTGGTACCACCATTGAAAACAAGCTTCAACGGGTTTTCACATACTTTCAAGGCAAGATCGTTGTTTAAAGGGTCACCATTATAAACCATGATAGTTTAATGTTCTCGTAGTCTCTGCTTCCATAAATCGAAATCCCTATTGCGAGCGACGACATGTATTTTGTCACACTTTGAATGAAATGAAGAGTTAGGACACCTTGTAAGTTTAATAATAGTGACATGACATATTAAGATTCTATAACAATAAACGTATACCTTGCTATCTTGGAGATCATCTTCAAAATGTTGTTGTCCGTTACAGTCCTTCACGATCCACAAATCAACGACACGAGCTACGAGCTTCCATACGTTGTTACCTATCTTCAAATCAGCAATCCTAATGGGTGCCCTAGACATATTAATCTGAAAAGTACCAACAACACAAAAAAAAAAGAGTAACCACAACAACCTTTTTTCATAGTTAAATAACATGCTTTCTAACAATAGCACTTGAACCCGGCTGTCTTTAAACATGAATGCTAACAATAAATCTTGAACAACATGAAAAATGTTGAACATAAAACAACAGGATTTCAAAAAAGCATCTAAAAAACATATGTTGAAACGGGTGCATACACGAGGACTTGAACAAAAAATAGTCTTCCCAAAACCATTAGTAAAACGATTTCAAAATCCTACAAAATATAAATATGAATGGAAAGAAGGGAAAACCGAAACTTTCGATTTCCGTAATGCACAATGAAGAACAATAAGCAAAAATCGATAACGAACTGTTACATTGGCGAAAAACCATCAATGAACAATGGAAAAATCAGTCGCAATGGAAAAACAATTTTGAACAAAACTTGTCGAACGTTGAACGACAGCATACGCGAGGAAGTGGAAAAAAAGTTGTCGAAGGATGAACCTTGTTATTTGTATGCTTGTCTTGCTACGCAAATAGATGACAAAAGGAAAGAAAATGGTTTGGTTGTGGCAAGCCGTGGTGCAGGGAGAAAGACCAGAGGAAGCAGGTATTGTTTGAAGAAGACAATATTTGAGGCAATGAAGTGAGGTATTAATTGAAAAGAGTGGAAAATGTTTTTAACCTATTGATATTTAATTATTCTAATTGGGGAAGGACAGGTGGACGTGAAGAAGTTTTCAGCCAAGTAAATGAGTAGGATATGTTAATTACGTTGATATCCTTTAGTTAGACATGTTTGTTTTAGGTGTCAAGGGTATTAATGGAAGAATGCTGACAATGAATAGTAATGGGTAGGTAGTTAATGAGAATGTGAGAATGAATAACAACCATCATATTTAAAAGAAAAATATTGAGATTAAATCATATTTTTCACTTAATCATGTGCCAAAAATTCAAAAAGTCGGGCGCCTTGAAATAAATTAACAATTTTAGAAATATATTTTAATTCAATGGTCCAAGTTCATTCTCATTTTCTTATATAAAGATAACATTCTCATATATATATATATATATATATATATATATATATATATATATATATATATATATATATATATATATATATATATATATATATATATATATATATATATATATATATATATATATATATATATATATATATATATATATATATATATATATATAATGTCATTTTTATGTGAGAATATGAGAGTGAATCTGAACCATTAGATTTTAAAATAAATGGTGGAGATTATGTGTCATTTTTTCTCTCTCCTTCATCATTTATTTTAATAGTAATAAAAAAATAAAAAATTATATTTAAAATAAATTATCAATAATATATAATTTTGTGGTTAATAAAATAATAAAATAGATTAATAATATAATTTTATATTATATTACACACCATTCTTTATATATTTTTAAAAATATTTTTATTATAAATTATAGATTTTATTTATAAAATGAGATAAGACAATATAAAAAGTTTCAATCAATTCATCAATATCATCCATTTGCATTATTTTTTGAACGTTTAAATTAAAAGTCAAACTCTTTATAGCATCCAATATTTCTAATTATAAAGTTTTACGTGGTCAATTCATCACTATCATCCGTTTGTATTACTTTATGGACCTTTTAAAATAAAAGTCAAACTCTTTCTAACATCTCATGTCTCTGATTAAGTGTTTGTCTAAGATATTTTTACAGTGACCGTGTATTTCAATTAAATTCTTATAAAAAGAGATTAATTACTATGTATTGTCAATATAAAAAGTTTTATATGATCAATTCAATATTGTAATTCGTTTGCATTACTTTATGGACGATTAAAATAAAAGTCAAACTCTTTTTGATATCTAACATCTCTAATTAAGTTTGTGTAAAATATTTTTACACTAACAATATATTTCAATAAATTTTTTATAAAAAAATATTAATTACTATATATTGTCAGTCAAAATTTTAAAAAAAATTTACATTTACGTGAGTATTGTTTGATGTAGGAGTGACAAAGTGGGTGGTCCGTCCCGTTTAGATCCACCCCAACTTAGACGAGTTCAAAAGTCAAACCCGCCCCGTTTATTAATTTTTTTTAGAATTTGATTTACTGTATAATTTACAACATTGTTAATCATTAACAAAGAGGCCGACAAATTTTAAAAATGCATAGTCAAACTTTAACCAGTCTTAATGTAAATGTCACACTCTTCAACATAAACAAACAATGTAACTATAATACCAAAAACTTAAAACAAACACATTAAAACTCAAAATATAATTTTCTTTTATCATAATGAGAAACAAACCCCTCAATACAAAACTTATCTTATAACTTTAGAACCCGACTCTAATGACAACGAGTAATAGAAAATAGAAAATAGAAAATAATGTATTCTTTATGTTTTGTAATAAATACTTTTTCTACAATGAGTGGAAATGAAAAACGAAGTAGAGAGCAATTAATGTCTTCAAAATAAGGTGTTTGTGGTTATGTGACATGTGAAAAATGAATATTAGGGTTTGAAGAAACGAGAGTTGTTTTAAAAGTATGTTTACTACGTATCACGTTAATATTTTTTTAATTACAAGTAAAAAAAAATTTTTTTTTAAACGAAAAGTCCGTGGACAAAATCTGCCCAGCCCTGCTCTCGGACTGTTTTAAAAGTGAGTTAGACAGGACAGAACAACTTAAAATATCGAACCAAAAACTTCACGCCGACTTATAAAAGATAATGGGTTAAATAGATGGATCCGACGGACCCAACCCGTTTTGCTATCTAGGTTGTTGTATATATTTGTGTTAAAATGACGTGGTAAGATAGAATAACTAGATTTTTTTTAAGATATAAGAAAAACTCCAAAACGTATATATTGCGGCCAAATCCAGTCTCTATCATATAATCTTCAGTTCAACAGACCGAGTCATTCGTTAGACTCATTTTTGAATCACTTATCATCATGAAGAATAAACCACTGTTCTGGTTTTTTCTGCTCAGCATCTCCTTCTCTTTGCACACCTACCCTCCTCCACTTTCTGCTTTGACCATCATCTCATCAACCCAACCTCTCTCCGGTGATCAAACTCTTGTTTCCAAAGATGGCAACTTTGAATTGGGTTTCTTCAATATAGGTAATTCCTCCAACTACTACATAGGCATGTGGTACAAAAAGGTATCTACAAGGACATATGTTTGGGTAGCTAATAGAGATTACCCAGTTTCTCCTAAAAGTAATTCCAAGTTAGTTATTTCTGATGGTAATTTAGTTCTCTTGGATCACTCTAAAAGTCTAGTTTGGTCAACAAATTTGAGTTCTACTAGTTCAAATTCTGTAGTTGCTGTCCTTTTAGATAGTGGTAATCTTATACTAAGTAATAGGCCTAATGCATCAGCATCAGAAGCTTTGTGGCAAAGTTTTGATTTTCCAACAGATACATGGCTTCCTGGTACCAAACTTAAACTTGATAAGATAACAAATAAGACTCAGCATCTTACTGCATGGAAGAACACCGAAGATCCAGCATCTGGTTTGTTCTCTCTTGAACTAGATCCTAATGGAACCAATTCATATTTGATATTTTGGAATAACACTCAACAGTATTGGACAAGTGGTTCTTGGAATGGCCAAATGTTCATCATGATTCCTATAATGTGGTCAAACCACGTCTTCAATTTGGCCTTTGTGTCGAACCATAACGAGAGCTACTTTACCTTCTCTTTGCAGAACAATTCTACTATATCGCATTTCGTATTGGATGTGTCGGGGCAGCTCAAGCAATTTACTTGGCTCGAAACTACTCAGCAATGGAATTTGGTTTGGTCGCAACCAAGAGGACAGTGTGAGGTTTATGCTTTCTGTGGTGCATTTGGTAGCTGCAATGACATCTCAAAGCCATACTGCAATTGTTTGAATGGTTATGGGCCAAAGTCGCAATCTGATTGGGATCTTGGTGATTACTCACATGGGTGTGTGATAACCAACAAATTTCAATGTGAGGTATCATCTGATCCTTCTAGTGGTGCCAAAGATAGGTTCTTAACCAAATCAAATTTGGCTTTGCCTGAACGTGCACAGTCTGTTGTGGAAGCTGATTTGAGTGAGGAATGTGAGTCAACGTGTTTGAGTAACTGTTCCTGCACCGCATATGCTTATAACAGTAGCGGTTGCTTCATTTGGAGGGGAGAGCTCTTGAATCTGCAACAGTTCTCTGAAGATGACAGTAATGGACAGACATTGTTTCTCAAGCTTGCAGCATCTGAGTTTCATGATTCAAAAAGTAATAAAGGAACAACCATTGGTATTGTTGGTGGTGCTGTTGGTGGCATATTGATTCTCCTTGTTCTTCTTCTAATTCTTGTGTTTAGGCGAAGAAACAGACTAGCTGGAGCAACAAGTACTGTGGAGGGCTCGTTGATAGCATTTGCGTACAGAGATTTGGAAAATGCAACAAAGAATTTCTCAGAGAAACTCGGAGGAGGAGGTTTTGGTTCTGTCTTCAAAGGAATATTACCTGATTCAAGTGTCATAGCAGTGAAGAAACTTGAAAGCATTAGCCAAGGCGAGAAGCAGTTTCGAACAGAAGTGAGTACTATTGGGATTCTTCAGCATGTCAACCTTGTTAGGCTTCGTGGTTTCTGTTCCCAAGGAAATAAAAGGCTTCTGGTTTATGATTACATGCCGAACGGGTCTTTGGATTCAAATCTGTTTAAGAACTCCAAGGTATTGAATTGGAAAGTAAGATTCCAAATTGCTCTTGGAATAGCTAGAGGATTGACATATATTCATGAAAAGTGTAGAGACTGTATCATTCACTGTGATGTGAAGCCAGAAAATATCCTCATAGATTCTGAATTTAGTCCAAAGATTGCAGACTTCGGCCTCGCAAAGCTTGTTGGAAGGGACTTCAGCAGGGTCCTAACTACCATCAGAGGAACACTAGGCTATTTAGCTCCAGAATGGATTTCAGGGGTGGCTATAACTGCTAAAGCCGATGTTTACAGCTACGGAAAGGTGCTTTTTGAGCTTGTGTCGGGAAGAAGAAACTCCGATCCTTATAAAGATGGCCAAGTTAGTTTCTTTCCTACTTTGGCTGCAAACATATTACACCAAGGTGGGAATGTGATTTCCTTACTAGACTCAAGATTGGAGGGTGATGGTGATGTTGAGGAGATCACTAGAGTCATAAAAGTTGCTACTTGGTGTGTTCAAGATGATGAAACTCATAGGCCATCCATGGGTCAAGTAGTTCAAATGCTTGAAGGGGTGTTGGATGTGAATTTGCCCCCATTTCCTAGATTACTTCAAGCTATTGTTGATGATCACGAGGACAGTATTTTAATCACTGAATCAAACTCCACTCATAGCACATCACAGGACGCGTTTTAGGGGTTCTCTCAATTGCTTCTGTTACAATAAGTTGTGCCATAGTTATGATATTAGAGTATTAAATTGCAATACATAGTTTCTTTAGATGAGCTATTGCCAACATTGATTTCATCCTAAATAATGTGAAATGAAAACTGATATCTGCGTTGTATTTTTTTTGCCAGTGCTCCACTGGGATATCAGACAAAGTATCTAAGTTAGGTACATCAAGCAATGATTTGTTAATATATAAACGTTGAAAACCACATTCTTAGAGAAGCGTTTTGGCGTTGGACCGGACTATTGTTTGTTTATAATATATAATTGTTTTGATAACGGAACCAGAGATTGGTCAGACGAAGGAAAAAGTCCTTCCGGTATCACAACAATAACCTCTGGTGTTGTAGAGCGGGCAAAACTAACACTTCAACGCCTAAACCAATGAGTTAATCATAAATGTAAGAGTGCAGATAATACTTGTTATAGTGTGTGGCAGGGTTTATATATGACAGATTGTTTATATCATCCTTATTTGATCCAGCATGTGTCGCAGTGAGTCGTCTGATCGAATCTGATGATGGTTGATGCCTTGTAGCCTGAATCAAGTGTCTGATTCTTTGACAAGGTTCTACTTGTTCGCTCAGTGTTTTGTGATGATGTTATGGATTGGACCTTTGAAATTGGGCCAGGCCTTTGGCCAACCTTGAAAAGTTTCTCCTCAAGTCCTTGTTGTCACTAGTGAAGCTGTGATTGCATTAGAGGATTTGGGGTTGGCCTCCAGGCCGTTCATCTTTACCTCCCTAGGTTTCCAAGGCATGTCTTCAGTTTGGAGAAGGGGAGAAAAATAGTTTGTTGTGTAGGAGAAGGTGGCTTCAGGTACATGCACCTTAAATGCTTATCTTGTAATTGAAATGTTTTGCAACACAGATCTTACATGTGGCTCTAAGTCCCTAGGGTAGGGAGTGACAAAGCCATTTAGAACACTCGTGTGCACTCAAATGGCGTGTTAATCTCGAGTTCATTCTTCAAGCATTGATTTCATCTTCGAGACTTCCCTCTATTTTTTTACTATAGATTTGTCTCCTCTTGTAAATTTCATATAAATTAGTGATAACTCTGATTTTAGGAGGAGTTCTCATGATGACGGTGATAAACCTGGGATCTTCAAGGCGACAAGAATCTAGAAATGCCTGTAGAGTAAGATAAGGGAGCCAGCCCATTTAGGGTTGATATTAGGGAGGTTCATTGTGGCCTTGCTTTCCCAGAGATACCTATGGTAAAGTTAGAAACGGTTGGGGAGTACGTATATCAAAGACTTAAGGACCTTGAACGATAAGGAACCTAGTGATTATAATGTTAAGTACTTTGAATCTTGTGAAAGTTTAGAACTTATAGTCGGGATTTTTTATTTGTTGACAATGAAGAGGAGATGTCTTAAAAGGGACTGCATGATCTCGATCTTTCCGCCGACCCAGATCACTATCCCTATATGGAGAGGGATGTTCTAATAACGTCCTCTATATTGGTTCTAGGCCAGACAAAGCCACATAAAAGAGGCCCACTAACTGTTACAAAGTAAAGCTTGTGACTATTTGACCTATATATATATATATATATATATATATATATATATATATATATATATATATATATATATATATATATATATATATATATATATATATATATATATATATATATATATATATATATATATATATATATATATATATATATATATATATATATATATATATATATATACTATCACATGCTAAGGCTTAAGGTAAATAAACACACTTTTCATACTTCGCTTTACCTTTTTTTGAATTCATTCATTGACTTGAACATTGGAGTTCTAACCTTACAAGTTCATCCATGTGTTCAACCGCTCTGTAGATCTATGTGCTTGTAGGTATGAAGCTAATGAATATACTGACAACATGCATAATATTTTGATGACGACAACACTAATGAATGTTGAAGTCAGTGGTGATATCTTTTCAACTCTTTGATGATGGTGACTAACTTTATGATATCTCAAGACACATCAAGTAGAAGATTCAAGGTTCCATTAAAGTGCTTATATGGGCGGTACATTTGGAAATGAAACTTGAAAGCTTCATAGTTTTGAAAGAGATGAAGTGTGAAAGCTCTCCTGATCGTGTCTATTTAAGAGACCAGAGTCTTGTAAAAGTAGTTTTAAGGCGTCTCTTCACTTAACAAAATCATCTAAAAATATTTTCAACGCCTAGTCAGTTGATTGGGAAATTGTCTTCCTGATTATGACAATTTTTTAAATTGTCTAATCGATTAGATGATCTCTAATTAAGTCTATAATCGATTATGACAATCTCTTAATGGTTGGTAACTATTATATATCAAAACCTTCCTTTTTTTTGGCCAAAATGATCAACTATTGGATGCACCTAGTAAATTAGCTAATCGATTAGGCCATTAATTCAGCCCATGGATTGTTTCCATTTTGAGCCAATGTTTTTCCTATATAAAGGATACCTCTCCTCACTTCGTTTCACACCAGAATTCAGAGTCTTCCTAATTCTTTACAATTTATCTCTCTATTCTCTTTCTTTAAACATTTCCTTCACCAAAGTTTCCTTAGTGCCTTGTGAGTGATAATAGCTTATGAAAAAAGAGTTGTATTATTGTCGTGCCACTGTTTCTATTTTCAAGAGTGTAGTACTCTTGAAGAATTGAGTTTGATTATTGAGATTAACCATTTTAAAATCTCTTTTTAGTTATATAACTCAACCTAAAAAAGTTTCATTTGATTATTGAGATCAGCTTGCAAAATCTCTCTTTTGATTGGGAGGATAAGACAGTATAAAATATCTCAATTCTCTTACATCAAAGGTTTGTGAGCTTAACTTGTAAAAGCTCAATATTATAGTGAAATATCAAAATATCTCTTGGGTACAAGACTTGGCCAACGTTCGGCCAAACCTGGATAAATTCTCTTGTGTCATCTCTTTCTCTTAAATTCATGTTATTTACTTTACTATTTTATTTCGTTGTTTTTGTTTATGATCTTGAAAACACTAACACAATTTGCCCTTTATGTAATAAACCTCTAAATTAATTACAAATTTTGAATACCACAATTCACCTTCTCTCTTGTGCTTGGAGTCATTTGTCTAACAAGTGGCATCAGAGCCTATCTCTTGTTAAAGGCTAACCTTCTCAGGAGAAAAATGAATTCAAGCTATTCAATAAACAAGCGCACATCCTTCGATGAAGAATGGTATATTTTTTGGAAAGATAAAATGAGATTTTTCATATAAGGGATGAGTCATGGTATTTGTAAGGTTATGAAGGAAGGTTCATTTGTTCATACACACGAAGTCTATAGTGTTGTAGTAAAAAACCCTAAAAAAAGATTAGACCAAAGATGATAAAGAAAACATGCACTACAGTTTGAAATTAAAAACTTTTATCAATACCACTATCGGTCTTGATAGTGATTAATTTTTGTGATTTTCTCACTACAAGACTGCAAAAGAAATGCAGGACATCCTCCAAATTACCCATGAAGGAACTACTAATATAAAAAGGGTAACATTGGTAAACTTTTTGCAATTAACTTTTGTGATTTTCTCACTACAAGACTGCAAAAGAAATGCAGGACATCCTCCAAATTACCCAGGAAGGAGCTAATAATGTAAAGAAGGCAATATTGGGCACGTTAACTCATGAGTATGAACTTTTCATAATAAAACGCGAAAAGAACATAAATTAAATGCAGACATGGTTTACCCATATCACAAGTCATATGAGAACTTTGAGAGGAAAAAATTCAAATGATAAATTAGTTCGGAAAATTCTTAAATGCTTAAACCATAGTTGGCAACTTAAAATCAATGTGATTTATGAATATAGGGATTTAACAACTATGGACACCCCCTCCCCACACACACACATACGCATGCGCGCACGCACAAATACACACACACACACACACACACACACACACACACACACACACATACACACACGCACGCACACGGGCGCGCACACACACACACACTCTCTCTCTCTCTCTCTCTCTCTCTCTCTATATATATATATATATATATATATATATATATATATATATATATATATATATATATATATATATATATATATATATATATATATATATATATATATATATATATATATATATATATATATATATATATATATATATATATATATATATATATATATATATATATATATATATATATATATATATATATATATATATATATATATATATATATGGAAAACTATAGGCACACAATATGGAATAGAAGAGGTTTGCAATAGATTAATAGGGAGAAAAGAAAAAAAATATTTTAAGCTCAAATTCAAAGATTCCAACTCTGATGGTGACATGTCCCTTATAGTAAAAAAACTTCAAAAGATTCCTAAGGCATGAGAAACAATAAAAAGAGCAACAATAAAAAAGATGAGGAAAAAGCACCATTCACTCCCAAATGCCACCTATATGGAAAGAAAGGGCACATCAGGCCAAATTGTCCTTTAGCAAAAAAAAAACGCAATCAAAATCAAAAGAAATCTAAGAAACCTCATAAAAAGGGCAAAATAACTTACATCGTATGAGAGAATAACGATATGGAATCTTCAGATGATGAAGGAGAAGTCAACATCTGTCTCATAGAAAATCATCTAGAGGATGAGGTAACCTCTTAATTTTCTTATCATGATATTTTTCATATTTGTAAGAAGCTAACAAAAGAATCAAGTAAATTGTAACAAATTGTCTCTATATCCAAGGATACTATTTCTCAAGGTGCGAAAAATACAAGAAATGGGGGTTTGAATTGAGTTTTTAAAATAAAAACTTTTTCGATCAACTAAAAAAAATAACTGAATCAAAAGATTGAAAAGATAAAGACACAAGAAATTTTATCCTGGTTCACTTGAAAATCAAAGTTAATCTAGTCCACCTGCCAAGGTGATTTCGCCTCTATACACAAAGACTTAATCCACTA